CACCTAGATTATAATAAATTAAAATAGTAATCTTGAGATCATCAGATGTCAAAGTAACATTATAGCTATATATTTTTAAATACAGAGCTATAGCACTCTGTGATTAAACAATTTTCATGCTTCTGGAACCTGATCCAAAGTTAGCAAAATAATTTTGAGCTTTTTGTTGACTTTACTGGGCTTTGAATCAGGCCTTTGGGGCATTGTAGTATGATTTTGGTTGTCTCTTTATCTTGTCATCTTCCACCATGTAACAACTCATGTCTTCCTCTGATTTGTGGAGCACCAACAGTACCTGGTAATTATAAAAGAATTCATAATTGTCCAGCAGCAGTTGCCTAAAAATAACAAGTTGTTGAAAGGGTGGGGGAATCAAAATCTAGTTGTATCTTGAAGAAAACTTGCTGTTGCTTTAGTGCATTTTTGGACCACTGGGCAACATTTTTAATGCATTAAAAATAGTGCTAACCAAGTGTCTGTGTGCATTGGTAGCTAAGTCTGTTCATTATATCCAAAGAAAAATGTTTAGCTTAGACTTTTTTTGTAATCTCTTTTTGGAAATTAAGTAACGTTTTAGAGAATGCTTGATAAGCTTATTGGAAGTTACCTGGCGAGAGCCAGGCTTGTAACTAAGCATAAATGTATTAGGCATTTTTAAATGGTTACTGTACTATGAAATGCTAAAGGACTAAAACAATATCCAGTTAGCCAATAGAGATTGGTTACTGTGAAGCAGCTACCTATGGAGACGATCTGCCCCCGCCAAGAATATGAATCTTTTCACTAATTCTCTCTCAGGAGAGTCACTAAGCTGCTGTCCTAGGGGGAATGCTTTCATGATCTCTCTGGAGGATTTGAAACATTTGCCAAGCTTAAAAGAAGAACAGGGACACGCACAGATGAATCCACTTTTAGTGAAGGGACCTTTTATTGTTCCTGTTTTTCATTTTATTTGTATCAATGTTTCTATTTAATTTGCACATTGAACTTTAATAGCATCTTAGAAGGGCACTTTCAGACGTACATGAAACTTGATATTGCTGACTTCTAAGATCCTTCTGAAAAGAAACAAAGAAGATACCAAAAAAGCTTATTAAATGACATTGCCCTGCAGTGTTCACAACTCCTATATATTGAAGTTTTGTAATAGAGCAAGAGACCTTGGAAGTAAAACTGTCAGGTTACCAGATGGCCCTTATTTCAAAGGGTTCTTCTAACTCACAAACATCACAGCTTTGCAGAACATAACAGATGTGCCTCATTTTCGACGTTACAGTGCCATACACAGATAACCTTACTTCAAAGTATCCTTTATTTTGGAAATTTTGAGCTGACGTCTGTCACAAATTCAAGGACCCCAATTCCTGCTCTCAGCCAGATCTACTTCAAGGGACACTTTTGTTTAGTTCATGCTTCTTACAAACCCATTCACAATCTTTCGCACACACATAGTCTTTCACACTGACACCATGCTCAGGGCTGCTCACCACCACCTTAACCCAAGCTTCTGGTTAACTCAGAGCAAAAAAGATAATATTTTAAGGGAGGGAAGAATATTTATGAGAGGGAAAGAACAGAACATACCATCAGGCATATAAGAAAATACAGTAATACTAAAAACCCTTGCTAACTTAGCTAAAACCTTGCTAGAGGTGTAGAATGTAATTCACAGCATGATAATTGACATGAGTTCCAAAGAGGCATATTTATTTGTTCTCATTTAGGCAGTCCTTTGTTCTCTGTCAGAGAGAAAGCAAGTTTTCCTGTTTCACAACAGTGCTGTACTGGAATTGATGCTACAGGTAGCGTCCACGTTACTATGCTCTCAAAGCAAACCCCACAGCCCTTTGTATAAATGAGCTTGTGATCTTACTAATCACATGCTAATCAATCAATCAAAAGCATTTACCATATTTTTCGCTCTATAACACGCACCTGACCATAACACGCACATCGTTTTTAGAGGAGGAAAACAAGGGAAAAAACATTCTGAATGAAACAGTGGATGTATCATTTTTGTGCTTCATGCTGTGGCCACAGACATGTGATCTGATGGTGAATTTGGGGTGACCCAATGCAAAAATCCTGAGAATTCCTGTGGATCCATGCTTTGTAACCACGGTTTTGCACCATTGCAGCCCCAGGCAACAGTGGGTGCGTGATTTTTTGGGTGCAGGCTGTAGGCATGGACATGCTATGTGATCTGATGGTGAATTTGGGGTGACCCAATGCAAAGATCCTGAGGATCCATGTGGATCCATGCTTTTTAACCACGTTTTTGCACCATTGCAGCCCCAGGCAACAGTGGGTGCGTGATTTTTTTGGTGCAGGCTGTAGCGATGGACATGCTATGTGATCTGATGGTGAATTTGGGGTGACCCAATGCAAAGATCCTGAGGATCCATGTGGATCTATGCTTTGTAACCACATTTTAAGTGGGGAGCGAAGGAAAAACAAAGAAGGGACATGAGAGGGGTGTGCAGAGAAGCAGCTGGCTAAGAATGCTGGAGAGGGATTTAACGGGTGGGAGGAAAGAAAGGCAAAAGTTCCCCCCCAAGCCAGCCATCTCTCTCTCTCTCTCTCTCTCCCCCTCCCTCCCTCCCCCTCTCTCTCCCTCCCCCCCTCTCTCCCTCTCCCTCCCCCCCTCTCTCTCTCCCTCCCCCACTCTCTCTCCCTCTCCCCCAGCAGCACCGGAGCACAGAGAGGAATTAGAAAGAACGACACTCTGCTTGCCTGGAGGGGAGGGGCTTTCCCTGCTCTTTGTTCCGTTTCAGCAATCACAGCAATGAAACAGAGCAGGGTGGGCAGTAAGACCCTGAGGCAGAATGCAGGAAAGCAGCCACTTCCTCTTTTCAGGTTTCCCTTCTCCGTGACTCGCGATTTGACATTTGCCTGATTTTTTGGCTCCAGGGACCACACATTCGCTCTATAACACGCACAGACATTTCCCCTTCCTTTTTAGGAGAAAAAATCTGCGTGTTATAGAGGGAAAAATACGGTAGTTACATTTTAAACTAGAGAAGAGGGTTAAATTTAATAGGTAGATTTTTCTCTCAGCTCGGAGTCAAGAGAATAGGTGAAATACAGTGGTACCTCAGGTTACAAACACCTTGGGTTACAAACACTTTGGGTTACAGACTCCACTAACCTGGAAGTAGTACCTTGGGTTAAGAACTTTACCTCAGGATGAGAACAGAAATAACGTGGCGGCGCAGCAGCAGTGGGAGGCCCCATTTGCTAAAGTGGTACCTCAGGTTAAGAATGGTTTCAAGTTAAGAATGGACCTCCAGAACGAATTAAGTTCGTAACCAGAGGTACCACTGTACTCAAGACTTCTGTAGTGGCCTGTCTGCCAAAAAGCACCACGCTGAATGTGTCAGCTAAGAAAGTATTTTTATACGCAGACCAATGGTTGCTTGACATTAAAGCTTAACTTTTTCCTCTTGCAGGTCTGACATTATGAAAATGTCTTTGGTTACAGAGAATAGCGTCAGTTTGGTCAAGAGGAATTCCAGAAACCCATCCATTTTCTCCCCACCCATCCATTGAAGTCTTACACAGAGCTGCTAATGAAAAGCATTAGCCCTCTCTTTTTATTCTTGCTACAATTATGCAGGGATTCCATGACAAAAGTTACACAAAAAGTGTGTTTTTTTTAAAGTGTATGTTACTTCTTGGAACATGATGCTGCAAGTACAGCTCAAAATGAATTAAACCAGTGATAGATAATTCTGCTGGTGCCGTACTCATATCTAGCAGATTCAGGGCAAGTCATATATTTTATTAGGGGCTGATCTTTTGCTTATGTAGTGATATAATTCATTTCAGGAACATGGCTAAACATCCTGTATGTTGTTTGTGGAAAGACCAGTTATATCATCACCATCACCCTACTTCAAACTATAAAATCTGAAACTGACATAAGTTGGGTTTGTTTGTTCCAGGGGTTTGGGGGGGGCAGGTTGGGGGGTACCTTCGCTCTTAATGTAAATGCACTGCCTTAATTTTTGCCTTTAGGATACTGAATATAGCATTCATATTGTGTTTTTTTCAGTACTCAAAGCACTTCTCATTTATTATCTCATATAAACTTGACAAGGGATGATACCGAGCTAAGACATACCCAGAATAGACCCATGGATTTCAGTGGATCTTCTCTAACTAGCATTGGAAATGGTTTTTTTTCTGCAAATCTCAGATTTACAACTATAGAACCAAAGACTGGAAGGGATCCCAAAAGAACATGTAGCCCAACCCCAGTCCTTATAGCAATAACGTGGGTTGGAAGTCACAACTTGTATTACGAAGGAATGATCCAAAGGTATACTGATCTTGTGTAAAAAAAGGTAAACATTCTCTTGCAAGTCATTGGTATCGGTCAAGTTTCTGTTGGTAAAAGTAAATATTTATTGGATGCTTTTGTTCTTCCTGGACATACCTAGCGAATGAATCTTTAGGAAAAAATATCTGAGGTTGTTTTCAGATTACCTTCTTATTGAGCATGTTTCCTTACTACTTTGCACCAAGTTTGTTGGGAGGTTAGATGAAATGGGCTGTTTTTTGAACATTCATTCTGGGTACACAATGTGGCATGGAGCAATTGTTATCCCACACTTTCCAGTGCTTTCCCCATCACTTTCCTTATTGCAAAGGGTCCAATTTTGAGGGGGAGAAGTTTGTTGTGAAAGGACACCAAATCAGCTTTGAATGCAGAATTATAATTTGCCTGTATGTTATTAGTTCATACCTGAAAATTATGACAGCCTGGAAGTGCCCTGAGTTTAGGGCTCTCCAGCTTGTTGGAGGTCTGAAATCTGCCACACTAATTTAAGCCTCCTTCTAGTGAGCAGTTGGATGTCAGCTGTTTCACGACTTTTTTTTCTTTCGAAAACCTTTGGGTTTTGTATATGCTCTTTAAGTTGGGCCCCTGACTTTTTTTGCTAGCATTAGCTTCCTGTTGGTGTGACTGACAATCGTATTTTTTAATTTTCCCTCTGTAGCTTTAACAGCGTACGGCAAGGAACTCATATTTTGTTCCGAGAATTCAACTTTGTTCAAGCTACACCCCATAATAGAGCATCCTTTCTAAGAACCTTCTGGCGATGCTTCAGAACCGTGGGGAAAAATGGAGGTGAGTTTTCTTTTTCCTTTTTAATTAATTTTTATTAAATTTTTCAAAAAATAGAAATTAAACAAAGAAAAACAGAGAACAATACATAACACTGTAAACACACTTATATACGTATTTTCCAAAATAAAAACTAATAAAAAGAAAGAAAATAAAAATTAAAAATATATAGAAAAAAGACAAAAGAAAAGAAAAAATACTTTTCATAACCTGGAATATTACCAAATTCATGCTTCAAATACTGCAATATATAAATCTTAGCTGAAATATTATAAAAGACTTCCACCGCATTCACCAAACATCTTAGTTGTCTTACTCGCATTGTTCAAGCTACACCCCATAATAGAACATCCTTTCTGAGGACCTTCTGGCGATGCTTCAGAACTGTGGGGGAAAATGGAGGTGAGTTTTCACTTTCTATCTCTAACGCTCTATTAGTGCCTTGAGCAGAACTGCTGACTAGAAGTTTGTTGTCTAGACTTTTGTCTGAACTTCCCATTCGTCTGCACAATTGATGAATGTTCTCTTGCAGCTCTAGTGTTCTCTAAAAGTTTACATAAAAGAAGGGCAGCTTCTCCAAAGATAGAATTTTTAGGAGGTGGCACTAGCGTAATGGGGGAGTGCCGGGGGGGGGGGGTGCGTTGCCCTGGGCACACAATGGGGTGTGTGAACCAGGCACCCCCTGCAGAGATCCCCCTCACAAGGCTGGGTGAGTGCGGAGGGTGAAACGCACCCTCTGCGCCCCTCCCCTGCCTGGCATGCGAGCGCCTGTCCATCAGTGGCGAAGGCTGGCTAAGGCGCTTCACCCTCTGCTCGCCCAGCCCTTGACCCCGATGAGCGGTCGGTCCGCGGCCAGCAGAGGAGAGTTGGCAGCAGCGTTGCCACCCCTCCCCTTGGCTGGTTGACACCGAGCAAGAATGCTTCCAAGGCAGCAATTTCATGCCTGGTCAGGCTGGGTGCAGTGGGCTCCCTCTGGGCCCCACCCACCTGAGGGGAGCACCTGTCGCAGGTGGCGGGAGAATACACTCTGCCACTGGGAGGTGGGCTTGCCGGTCAAAGGTGTCCTGTGCTAGAGAAAATGAGACTTGGGTCTATCAGTTTTATAACTTGCATCATTAGAAATAGCTTGAACACATATCTGTGTATTAAAGTGAAAAACCATATTTAGTAGAATTTTCCATTAAACGCATTACATCTAGGCAGTCAATATATTTTAGGTTGTAACCGTCTGACCTCCCCAGTTCCTTCAGAATCCTTGCAGAATTGTCATCAATGTTTGCTTCCATTGTGATTTTTTTTCTTACCAAGCTGTGTAAGTGGTGGCCAGCCATCATCTTGATAATTGCTGCACATGTTCAGCTGATTGTTGTACCCCTAGTGCACATTAGTGCCACCATACTGAATTATGCCATGCAGACCTTGAACATATTATGCCATGCCAGTAGACCTTAAGACTGCAGTGTTTATTTAGCACACCATGGCTTGGCCTGAGAGCCCTTATTGCTTAGATAAGGGACATAAAGATACATAAAGGTACTTAACCTCTGTATTTGGGAGATTGTTGGGGTGTTTACATAGAAAAGAAAAGAGACATGTTTGTGAAAAGGACTCAATACTATTGCATCCAGCACTGTGCAAAAGTATTTTTTGTCTTTTTTTTAAAAAAAAACCTAAATGGAAGAAATGCTCAAACTTACTTTTTCTGTGACTTTTTTTTTAAACTTGGTTTGACTTTTACAGGCATTTTGTCTTTGCTCAGGCAATTCAAAACACATAATCATTAGCAGCTTATGCTAATTACCACTTTATCCATCCATTGTATCTGTAGTAGACTGGGTTTTGTCTGTTGTTCCAACCAAGATGATTTAGTTTAGTCAGTGTATACTCCAGCTTTTAAAATCTAGTTCCAGTTAGGATGCTTTTAAAGCTTGGTTATTTGTTTATAATTTTTTAACAACCAAAATTTGGGGTTTGAAATTTTCTTACTGGGATACTGGTTTGGTTTTTCTGGGAGACAGGAATTGTTGTTTTGCCTTTCAATGGCTGGAGTGATAATTCCAGATGTCCTGTGGTGCATCATAAAATATAGTCACAGGAAACATGAGCTTCAGTGATGTAATGCAAAGTACATATGAAATCCTCAAATTGCTCTGCTGGTTCACATCTCTTCATTTCAGTGAGGTGTAAGCTAGCTGAGAGGCACAGAATCAGTACTAGAAGGGACTGGAAACTAACCACAGTTTACATATTGACCCAGCAGGTTTATCTACATTATCAGCCCCTTGTGAATTAGCACACATTCCGATACATTGGGGGATTCTGTTATGAATCTGCAAGAGGCAGACACTCTTGGGGCGGAGAAATTAAGGAACAAACAGTTGAAATATTTAAGTTATACTGGCTAGTAAAATTCACAATCTTCTGTTTCTAATTTGAACACTTCAGGAAGTGCAGTTTTACATCTTCCTTGCAAAATATGTAAGTGGGGAGACTGAGGAAGAAATATAGTTTTCTGTTCCGAGGAAATGGTTGGAATAGTGCTTATACATGCCAGTTTTTATTCCATTGCTATGGCATGTGCCTATGTAAAAGCCAGTTCCTGGTTACTGCTGCACTGTATAGTCACACCTGAGCATGCCCAAGAAACAACACGGATAGGTTTGTGTAGCTGCACCCTAGTGCTGATTCTAAGTGCACTCTTTTGTGTCTTCTATGTATGTAAATAGATGTCAGTCTGATGGAGAAAATCAGACTACTCTTTTGGGGACGTGTGTGTGTGTGTGTGTGTGTGTGTGTGTGTGTGTTTAGGGGCAAACCTGTTCCCTACCCCTGAATCTGATTAGTGTGACTTCCGTCACCAACTGGAGGCTGCAGTATGTCTCTGTGCAAAGTGCCCTTCCAAGTGATCCCTGCAATATACAGGCCTTCCGTTTATACACATGCATCTTGTACACCATAACCATAGACATTTTGCTCAAATGAAATAAAGCGCAAGCAGAAGGACTGCATAAATGGGGCAGGAGTACCTAGGAATAATAATTAATAATTTATTATTTGTACCCCGCCCATCTGGCTGGGCTTCCCCAGCCACTCTGGGCGGCTTCCAACAAAGATGAAAAATACATTAAAATGTCACACATTAAAAACTCCCTGAACCGGGCTGCCTTCAGATGTCTTCTGAATAATAACCCGGAAGATGGTTCTGTTTTTAACAATCATGAATCATAATAAAAAGAAACAGCAGACAAATTAAAAAATGCACCAGTGTACAAAAAAATAAAGGCCCAAATCCCCAATTCAGCACTGTGGAAGCCAGAAAGAAAAGCATGGTGAAGCATATAAGACTCTGCAAAAATTTAAAACGAACCCCCCCCCAAATTAACAGCTAAAAGTCCAGGTAAATATGACAGGCATTGTCTGGCAGTCAACAGAAGTTGATGCAGGTGCCAATTGGATCTTTGTTGGTGGGGAATTCCACACCAAGGGCATAATGCAGGTGGGGGGGGATCTACTTGCCGGAAGCCAACCACCAAATCTGGCAACCAGACATGCCTTTTGTTTGCCTCCTAAATGTTTTAGAAATGTGGCCTCCATAGTATGGACAATTCAAAACTGGATATGTTTAAATTATTTAATATATATTCAAATGACCTTGACTTTTCACCTCCAGGAGAGGTGACAATGATAAAAACAGCCAGGAGCACAGTTTCAGATCCCATCTATAATTTTAATTGGGCAGTGGGTGTTTTTTTAAATGGCATTTTGTGCCACTACCAACTTTGTCCGGGAAATGGAGTTTCCACTCAAACCTTGGGAACGCAGGAAAGAACTGACTCACCAGTCTAACCAGCTTGCCAGATGCTTCTTCTTTTGTATATAGAAACCCCTGTTTGCTGTTTGTTGTTCGATCTTGGGATAAACATGTAGTGACTTGGAAAATGCGTGTTGTTTGCTCTGAACCTTCCTGGTTAAGCCCAGCAGACACACTTAGCCATGAATGTAGAAAGCTGCAGTTGGATGCATGGACAAAGGAATCTTTTTAACTGATGGAGAATACCTTAAAATATGACTTAAGCAAATATTTGTTAGCTTTGATAATTAAATAATAGATGAAAAGTAATTCCAAATAAATGAAGAATAATTGCTGCTTCCACTGCTCTTCTGTTTTAGTCCATCTCCTTTGCTGCCTTTTAAATCTTTATGCAGCTGTACATCTGGTCATCTTGGCTTCAGCAGCTGCTTTCATTTTGCATCTTGAAGATGCTACATTTTATGTTGGATCGGTGGCCCATCCCTCCTCTTGCATAATTGGACTGAATAGTACACCACAGTTCAGTGCATAGCATGGAAAAAAATTATATAAGCTGCATATACACCATACATTTAAAGTGCATTCTCCACCACACCAGAATACTGGCAACTGTAGTTTACTACTCACAGTGCTACAGCTCCCAGTGCTGTTAACAAACTGTGGTTCCAATGATCCTCTTTTTTCGCAGAGTGCTTTAACTGTATGGTGTGTAATGGTTGGCACCCATCTGTCTTGAGAGACAATGGAAGAGAGTGTGCCTTCAGGAGTGAAGTCGGAGAGTGATAGCGACTGCTATGGCTATGTAGAATGATGCAGGAAAAACATGTTTTCTTGCAGCTGGGGCAGACGAAGGCATCTGGTTTCGCTGTCACAGAGGCATCATGGCGTTTCTTCTCTCTGCAATCCTCCTAGCATTCATTCCTCCTCTGGTCTTTGCTGTGGAAACATGACCCGATTGTCTCCGGTTATTGCGGTCATCTGCAAGGGATTCCACATGGTGGAGTTGAAGTTGCCAGCGTTCATGTCACCTTTGCAGACACCGTTGTGATGCAGAGTTAGTCTGCTACGGGCCTGCTGCCTAAAGCCACCTCCCTGTAGAGCACGCCCTTGGGAATCCTGCCATCTTCCATTCTGTGGACGTGACCAACCCAGCATAGACATCGCTGGGGCAGAATTGCGAACATGCTGAGAA